CACGTCGTGCCCGGGCATGTGCGGGGGCATGTGCGTTGTGTTTTGATGTATCCATCATACGCACATGGACGCACAGTCCGACGCACATGCGCGCACATGCCTGCACATGCGGGAGGTGTTCGAGAATCGCAGATCTGTCATCGGCACATGCACGCACATGCCTGTGCAACCTCTCTTCGGGAGGCCGCGCGGGCCCGCACATGCACGCACATGCGGTGAAACGCGCGGGCGCACATGCGTGCACATCCCAATGCACATGCACGCTCATGCCTTAGGAGCTGTCTGGGACCCCTGTGCCTCCAATGCCTCCTGGCCTTCGCAGAGCTAACCTGGGGCGTGCCAGGGTTTCCTGAAAGAGTTTGTTGTGCGTTTAGACTCGCCCGCTGCTGGCGGGGGCGGTTCTTCGCCCTGTTCGTGAGCTGGCGGTGGCGTGCCCTCCTAGTAAAACACTCTCCCGCGCGCCTTCTCAGCTCGGCCGGAGAAGCAGGGGTGGGGGGGGGAGGTGGAGGGGGGGGGAAGGAGGGGGGGCGGAGGAGGCGGACGCCCCCGGCTCGGCCGGCCCGCCCGCCTGTTCGGCTCGGCGCCCGCCTGTTCGGCTCGGCCAGAGGAGGAGGAGGAGGAGGAGGAGGAGGAGGAGGAGGAGGAGGAGGAGGAGGAGGAGGAAGAGGAGGAGGAGGAGGAGGAGGTGAGAGTTGCGAGGATATCTCAGGCGAAAGTGGCTTGACGGCCCGAGCTCAGGGAATCTCGGAATCGCTGGCCTGGCTCGGCTGGCGAGCTCGGCCTGTGCGAATACTGTGCGTACCTGTGCGGGGCATGTGCGGGACGTGCAAGAATCCCAGGGCCGGCGTTCGTCTCTGGGCGCCGGCGCGTTCGCGTCCGGCCCGTTCCGCGTGAGACGTCGTCGGCAATCTGGAGGCCGACATGCTTTGACATGAGGTGATCTGGCCACCTTCGCCTGAGACATCCTCGCAACTCTGGTCTCGGAGATGCCCTGCCCCATGGTGGCCCAGCCACTTTCGGGCTTCGAGACGCCCTGAGCTGAGGTGGTTAGACCACCTTCGCCTGAGACATCCTCGCAACTCTGACCTCAGAGATCTCCTGCCCCATGCTGGTCAGGCCACTGTCGCCTGAGACATCCTCGCAAGTCTCGATTCCGATATGCCCCGAGCTGAGGTGGTCAGCCACAGTCGCCTGAGACATCCTCGCAACCCTGATCTCAACGATGCCCTGCTCGATAGTGTCTCGGCCCCTTTCGCCTGAGACATCCTCGGAACTCTGGGTTCCGAGACGCCCTGAGCTGAGGTGGTTAGACCACTTTCGCTTTAGACATCCTCGCCCGAGATGCCCTGAGTTGAGGTGTTCAGGCCACTTTCGCCTGAGACATCCTCGCAACTCTGACCTCAATGATGCCCTGCTCCATACATAGTGTCTCGGCCTTTTTCGCTTGAGACCCTCGCAACTCTGGGTTCCGAGATGCCCTGAGCAGGTGGTCAGGCCACTCCTGCCTGAGACATCCTCGCAACTCTGGGTTCCGAGACGCCCTGGGCTGAGGTGGTCAGACCACTCTCGCCAGAGACATCCTCGCAATTCTGACCTCAGAGATCTCTTGCCCCATGGTGGTCAGGCCACTTTCGCCTGAGACATCCTCACAACTCAGACCTCGGAGGTGTCCTGCCCCATGGTCGTCTGGTCACCTTGACCAGCGAAATCCTCGCCACTCTGGTTTCCAAGATGCCCTGCCCCATGGTGATCCGGCCACGCTTGCCTGAGACATCCTCGGAACTCTGGGTTGCGAAATGCCCCGAGCTCAGGTGGTCAGGCCACTCTCGCCTGCGACATCTCTGCGGCATGTGCGGGCATGTGCGTCTATGCTTTCAGAGTTTTGCTTGACCGTGCATTCGACTGTGCGTCGGACGGTGTGGCATGTGCGCGCATGTGCGGCAATGCTGTTGAGGCTTTTGTATATTTGCATGGGCATGTGCATGCGACTGTGCGGCATGTGCCTGCATGTGCGGCCCCTTCCGGACCACAAGTTCAAAGTGAGCACTATAGAAGTGAGCGCTATAGAAGTGAGTCCGTTGTAACAGTAGTAGTAGTAGTAGTAGTAGTAGTAGTAGTTGTTGTTGTTGTAGTCGAAGTAGTAGTAGTAGTAGTAGTAGTAGTAGTAGTAGTTGTTGTTGTTGTTGTTGTTGTAGTCGTAGAAGAAGTAGTAGTAGTAGTAGTAGTAGTAGTAGTAGTAGTAGTAGTAGTAGTAGTAGTAGTAGTAGTAGTAGTAGTAGTAGTAGTAGTTGTAGTAGTAGTAGTAGTAGTAGTAGCATTAGTAGTAGTAGTAGTAGTAGTAGTAGTAGTAGTAGTAGTAGTAGTATAGTAGTATCGTAGTAGTAGTATTAAAGTAGTAGTAAGTAGTAGTAGTAAGTAAGTAGTACGTAGTAGTGGTAGTAGAGCAGCAGCAAGCAGTAGTAGTAGTAGTATGTATGTAGTGGTATGGTCGTAGTAGTAG